TGCGGGACCCCGCTTAATTGGTTAACGGGTTAAATCCAAGGTTTAACCAGTTAACTGATTAACTGGGATTTTACATCCCTAATTCTTAGAGGGATGACCTGCATGGGTTTCTTCAATACGGGACAAGGCATTTTTGTTCTTAGCAGCTTGCCAGAATTCTGAACTTCCTCGGCCCAAACTGGGCATTGCAAGGGCCATGCAAACACTGCATCCAGATGGTCAGGGTCCCAAGCCAGAAAGCCTTGTCCGATCAGTGGCGATCAGTCTGCCAGAGAGCCTATGAGCAAAGCAACTGGGACAGATAGCCCGCAATATGGTCACTTAAAAGTAAGGTCACTAAAGATGGGCTTGACAACAATTTAACAGTCATCAATTCATACTAATTCAGAGTCCCGCGGGCCTGGCTGAAATCTATCCGCCTAACAGACAGGATGCACAAGAGATTTTGCCACCCAGTGGGCTGAAAATCAGCAGTAACCTGCTCCATAGAACAGGAGAGACTGTGCAGCTAAAGCAGAGACAAGCAAAATGGGCACAGACTGTTAACGCTGAGGAACAGATGATAATGGTTACACATCTGGGCCTGACACTTGAGTCTTTTGAGGCAAACACTTTCCACTGAGGAAATCTGAACAATTTTATTTCATTATTGTGTATACTGTTTGGCTCATTATGTATGAATCCATGCTCCTGAGTCACCTGGTCACCAGCACAGAGAATTATGGGAGCAATTCACATACTGCTGTATCTTTTTGAAGAGGTCTTAACTCATGAGCCTATAAGCACTATATAAATGGCTTCCGAGATGCCCGGAGCACATGACTCGGGAATGTGGATTCATAAATAATACTTGCTGTTAGAGGTGTAACACACACACCATGTCTCTCTCCATTCCAATACAACATTTCTGGTTTGTAACAAGATTGCTCTGTAAAGGAACATAAAAGGAGCTCCATTAACCAGCAAATGTAATAGCCATTTCCTTTGAGGCTTGTTTCTAACCTGAAATGTACAGTCAGCATTTTTCAGGCCCTCAAGTAATTGTTAGTCCAAAGAAACTCTCTTTGGGATGGTATTTGCAGAAAAATCTGAGACATAGGGAATACCATTATGGAACAGTTATGAGTTTTTCATCCAATCACCATCATAAAAATGGTTTTTATCATCAATTTAGTATGGCCAGAAAGGCTGGTCTTTTTCCTTTGACACAAAGCAGGGTAAATATTTTTCAGTTCGACTCACCCCATTAATTCAGACTCCCATCACTACTGTCTGAAGAGAAGCTATTAGTAGCAAACACAGTATCACTGTGCTATTAGTAGCAAACACAGTATCCCATAAAGGTAAGTCCATGTCCTTCATGCAAGCAGCTTATGTCAAGGCCAAATGAAGAACACGAAGTCTATATTTGCTGGCATCCAAACTCCACAATGGAAGTGAATTCTGTAATTGTCTTCCTCCCCCTAGGATCATCCAAAATAGGAAAATGTTCTCGTATCTGCCCCTATATATCACTGCTTATTATGCAGAACTACTGACAGGCAAACAGAACCCAAAATATCCAGGAGAATTCAAGTTTATTAAGCTATCTTTGAAAGCTATCACTTAACTGAGGGATACTGTGGTAACTGAGAGTCCACCCATCTTAAACTCAATTGGATCCAAATCTAAATTGCTTGCTAACCAAATGCCTCAGCCTTCAAATCACAATTAACACTGAGCTGAGCATCAAATCTACACCACGTTGTACCAACAGTGTTGATGTTGTTCAGCCTCCAGTACCTTGTATTTTGTGTTTGCAGGAATGTTGGTTTTCCAGCGGACCGTGTAGTAGCGAGCATCTGTTATCTTCTGATTCTTCGGCAGGGAGTTGTCTGCCCATGTGATCCTTATGGTGTCATGGCTCAGAATGGAAGCCTGAACTCCCACCGGTGGCATCATGGGGGAGGGATCTGGCACTGGAGTGTATGGAGCATTAATAACAAATAAATCAACTTCGGAAGTGTCTAGGGGATTGATGGGTAAAAAGAAGTGTATTATAATTAAAAAGGGAGAGTGTGGCATTTTAATGTAAACAAAAACAAAAAAGGAAATGTGGGGTAATACAATGGCATGAAAGATGAGGAATGGAGAAAAAGAGAGAAAAGACCGAATTAATAGGGAGCATAAGACTAGCAAAGTAACTATTCCATCCTGAGCCCTTCTTAACACAAAAGCTAGGAATAGAAACACCCTATATATTTTGTCACATAACCATGCTAACGTCTATGAACCTCAATCACCATATAAGCACTTTCAGGATAAGATACCAGCTCAAACCTTTGGCTTTATTTGTCTCAAAACATCCACTTATTTCTCCCCCAGAAAACAATAATATGGGAAGAATAGGATGTACATTTTAAGGATAAATAACTTGTGTTTCAGACAAGGTTTCTAAAGAACTGTCATCTTTCAGAACATTTTTTTTTGGAGGGGGGGGATCTACGTCTTATATGAAATATACAGGGATTCGGGGAATTCAAACTCCAACGTACTCTAGAAAACGTAGCAGAATTCCTGGTCTTCAAAAGACAGATTAAACTCAACAATTTTCACATCTGATGAATCACCTCTGAATACAGTGTTAGCAATACCAGGAATTAGAATGAGACATAGGATAATAGCAACTCAAACTAATGGATTACTCTTCTTAAAGCCCAAGATAATATCAGGTTTATTATCAGTTTATTACAAGATGAAAAACATTATCCTAATGTCTCATTTAATGCAGCTACTGCAAAACAAAACTTAAACACATCATACAGAGAATGCATTCATTATAATCAGTATCTCAGCTTGAAAGATTAATGCTGCTGAGGATAGCCATAAAAGGAAAAAAACTAGAAGCAGATTTTTCAAATTGTACATGTATAATTTACACGACAGTTATAGCCACATTCTGAAACCAGAACATTTGTAAGTTTTGTAGGGTAAATTTTAGAATTTAAAATCGAACGCAAACATGCAGTTTTAGTTAGTTTAATAACTGATTAAAAATTGACATTAACCACAACGACAATACACTACACATCCGTTCCACACTAAAGTCACTGATGATGCTTTATAAGTCCTCGCACAAAAAATACTGCACAAATGGAAGTCAGATGCAGGAAAAAAATTCCCCACTTTAAGTTGTTTTGCTATAAGTCCACATTTTTTGGAATGTATCTTGGACTTATAGAGAGGATGGCCTGTAATGCAAACCAATTTAGGACACAGAATATCTGAAATCATAGAAGAATAAATCTCTAATGCATTAAACATGTTTCTGATTGTTTCCTGGAACTCAATATTTCAGCTATATGCATCAATACATTTGAAAGATAGCAACCACTGTCCTTTACCTGTATGAGGCCTGGTCACTGCACTCTCATACAGTGGAATTCCTTCACCAACATTGTTAAATGCTTTCAAAGTTATGACATAGTGGGAACTTGGATCTGGTGGAAGAAAAATACACATGTACCTTTAGCACCATTTCTGACTGCAGATTGTTAGCTACTTCTATTTCCTGCCTCTACTGGAGTCGCTGCTTTACTTGTTAACAGAAAATCGTAACCAATAGCCAGCAAACCTAGAACAGCAAATTTTCACAAAGACTTTTTCATTTAGCATGCTTCACGTATCCGACTGTGCAAGAGTTCCTCATACTACTGCTTATCTATAGTCACATTCAATCTTTAACTGGAGCAAGTCTGAGATAACATTCAGGAAAAATACCCCAACATGTGCACAACTAACAGTTGCTAGAACATTACTGTATTATCGTAGCCCTGTTCTACTAGCCTATGCCCCAAGATAGTTCCTCACTGTAACAAATTTCACTTCAAAGCACTTTCCCTAAAGGCCACAAAACAGCAGGTAAGGGTTTGTCTTCCAAATCTCTCAACTGCTTTATTTGCAGAGCCCATTTTTCAGTAGACCAGTGAGGTGGTGCCTATCACAAGGGATTTCTTATAAAATACTCAAAGAAAAATCTAATAGTATGATCAAACCAGTCAGAACAATGTTGCCTCCTAAATTCGGGATTGTGACTTTTTTCTCTTTTTATCAGGAAATGAAACGTATACAATTCAGTTAAGGCTGGAACCTCAATGTAGAATCTTCACAAAGAAGAAGCTTCAAAAAACTCAGCTCTGAATTTTTTTAAGCTGTGACTTGGAAAATGCCAATACAAATCTGAGTTAAATTTAGAAAATGTCAGTGAATTTTCCTCACCCAAGTTCTCAATGGTGTAATAGCGCTGTTTGTAGTCCACCTTGATAGTTTGTGCGTGAGGACTGCCAACGCCATATCCTATAGCATAGCCTCTTACCACGATGTTCTGGTTTTCAGGAGGAGTCCAGCTCACTACAATGCTTGTAACAAGCGGCCGAACATGTAGGGAGCTTGGAACTTCAGGAACACGAGTTTCTGTTAAAAAAAGAAAAATGCAATTTAAGGGATTTATCATTAATAAAAATCATGAAACTAAGTATTTTCACAAGCCTGTCAGACCCAATTTAAACCCTTGTGCTGCCACAGAACACCATGAATATTTTAGAAAATCCCACTTACATTTTTTCTCTGCTAGTGCTCAAAAACAAGGGCTGCAAACAGCGATAAAATTCCAGTTATTCATCTGGGTATTGCAGCAGAAAATAAAAGATAAATGAAAATTGAAAATCCTAATATGGCAATTTAAACCTCCTAAAGAGGCAGGTATTGTTATAATGGGCGGGGGGAGGAGGGGAGAGGAAAACACCTACATAATAAACTAAAATTTACCTAATTTTATATTCTAAAATATACACAATTTCATATTTTAATACTTTTCTTAAAGGAGAACTTTTACACTGGAGCAAAATATAACCTATAGACACAAATCCACTAAGCTTCCTTAGAATCATAGAATCCTAGGGCTGGGAAGAGACCTCAGGAGACACTGAGTCCAGCCCCCAGCCCAAGACAGGACCAACCCCAACTCAATCATCCCAGCCATGGCTTTGTCAAGCTGGGACTTAAAAACCTCTAGGGATGGAGATTCCACCACCTCCCTAGGTAGCCCATTCCAGTGCTTCCCCACCCTCCTAGGGAAATAGTTTTTCCTAATATCCAACCTAGACCTCTCCCACTGCAGCTTGAGACCATTGCTTCTTGTTCTGCCATCTGTCACTACTGAGAACAGCCTCTCTCCAGCCTCTTTGGAACCTCCCTTCAGGAAGTTGAAGGCTGCTCTCAAATCCCCCCTCACTCTTCTCTTCTGCAGACTAAATAAGCCTAAATTCCTCAGTCTCTCCTCATAGGTCATGTGCTCCAGCCCCTAATAATTTTCATTGCCCTCTGCTAGACCCTCTCCAATGTGTGCACATCCTTTCTGTAGCAGGGGCCCCAGAGCTGGATGCAATACTCCAGATGTGGCCTCACCAGAGCCGAATAAAGGGGAATAATCACTTCTCTGGATCTGCTGGCAATGCTCCTTGTAACACAACCTAATATTTCATTCACCTTCTTGGCTGCAAAGGCACACTGCTGACTCTCATCCAGCTTCTCATCCACTGTAATCCCCAGGTCCTTTTCTGCAGAACTGCTACTTAGCCAGTCGGTCCCCAGCCTGTAACAGTGCTTGGGATTCTTCCCTCCCAAGTGCAGGACTCTGCACTTGTCCTTGTTGAACCTCATCAGATTTCTTTTGGCCCAATCCTCCAATTTGTCTAGGTTACTCGGCACTCTATCCCTACCCTCCAATGTATCTACCTCTTCCTCTCAGCTTACGTTTCTTAGTTTTGCTTATTTTCCCTGACACTTTGGTAGTTTTCCAAAATTTGCTTAAATATAGAATTTACCCTCTGCCCTCCCCACTGCGCCTTGTCTTCCTCTGTATGTTACTGCAGCACAGTCAGATTGCTGACTTTTTAGCATCAAAATATTTCCATGGCAACAGACTGATGACATAGCAAAAACATTATGATTCTGTGTAGAATTAAGCAGACAATTATATAGCTATCCTGTCAAGAATAAGTTATTAAATTTGTTACATAAATCACTTGTAATTTGTCCAGTGAAACAAGCACACAGACATATTGTGGCACTGTGGCTCATGTTTAATACTCTTATAAATCTGCATCAACCTCACGGGTCTAGTTATGAGCTCACTTGTGCAATTTTACTGCTGAAACATCATCAGAAATGAGCACCTAAAGAATTTACAGTAAGTGTCTAAACAGAGCAAACATTCAAGCAAGCTCCAATCAAGTCCATCAAAATTGTGTAGCTGAGCTCAGATGGATTTCCACAGCCATATCAAACATAGCACCAAAGACATTTTAAGGAAGGGCTTTTACCACCATTGTTCATTGAAAAGCAAGCAACTAAAAGAACTTTAGAGGTATGCCTGCAATTTTAATGAAACTGCTTCAACATGAAAGGAAAAATAGCTTCTCTTGATTTGCCTTACTTCCTCCATCCAGTGAAACACGCAGTGGCAGATGTTAAATATCCCAAATAAAAGACAAGATGGATGAATATTAGGTTCACACACACATACAAAATCAATTCCACTAGTTCTGCTGCCTCCTGCCTGCAGGTTTTCTCGCTTAATGAGCTGTGTTTTATTTACTGAAAATATTCAAGCTACTGGACTGATGAGGATGTCTATTGACCTGCCTGACCAACAGGGCTTATGGTCACCATTTAATTCAACTGGTTTATGAAAGTTCACAACTATTAAATGCAAAAAGCTACATTAATGCAGTGTTAAAAATGAGATATTATATTGCACACATGTAGTACACTCAGAAATTAACTTCTCACAACAGTGTAACTCAAATACTTTTCACATCGATTTTATACAACAGGGCTCCTTCCCCAACTCCCAAATCACACACATACTCAAACACAAAATTCTAATGGCCCGATTTCCATTTGCTGTATGGCCCCTTTCCAGCCTACAAAGTGGACGTGAATTATGTTTACACCTCCCTAAGAGCAATGCAAGGGGGCCACAGTGTAAATGAAAATCAGACCCTTCCTGTGCATCTAAATTTGAAAGATAAATTTTAACCAGAGGTCAATGGCACAGTATGCTAGCTATCCCCTTAAGTTACTGCAGGAACCATTATATTTCCATGATGTTATATTGGCAAACAACATGACACATTGTCAGCAGCGAGGGATCTATGTTAAACACATGGCAACGTGTAGGCCTAAGGATCTAAATTAGGTGTTACCAGTCAAGATGATGATCTTGAACTCATGGTGGACCGTTCCCTGAAAACATCCATTCAAATGAGCAGTGGCAGTCAATAAAGCTAGCAGAATGTTAGAAACTATTAGGAAAGCATAAAATATCATAAGGCCACTATATAAATCCACAATAGGGGCACAGCTTGAATACTGCTCTTATGGTTACTCCATTTCAGAAAACATCTCTGAGAACTGGACAAAGTGCAGAGAAGGACAATGAAAAAGATTAGGGTTATGGAACATCTTCCTTTCAAAAGATTAATAAGACTGGGATTGTTCGTCTTAGAAAAGAGGTCTCAATAGGATTCAACAGAGGTGTGAAGAAAAGTGAATAAAGACGTGATTTTCACCCCTTCACATAGCACAAGAAGCAAAATCACTCCATTACATTATTAGGAAGCAGATTTGAAACAAACAAAAGGAATTATTTCTTCACACGATGCACAGTCACAACCCGAGGAGGTTGCTGTCAGGGGATGCTGTGAAGACCAAAAGAATAACTGGGGTAAAAAAACATTAGCTAAGTTCTTGTGGGATAGGTCTATCGTGGGCTATTAATCAAAATGGTCAGGAATCCAACCCCATGCTCTGGGTGTCCCTAAACCTCTGACAATCAGAAGCGATGGCAAGGTGACATGGCGATGAATCTTCCAGGAGCCAAGGTGAAAAGAGTACACAGCCGCTTTAAACAAAGAAGGAGCAATAAAAAGGAAGGTGATAAAGAGAAAAAGGAGAGAAATGCTAACAAACAATTAAGAAAAAACAACAAATGGTCTGGTAGTACTTGATAGACTAACAAAACATGGAGATGGCATCATGATAGTCTATCAAGTGCTACCAGACCATTTGTTGTTTTTTTTTCTGTTACAGACTAACTCGGCTACCCCCTGAAGCTCCTAAACAATTAAGAGATTTTTAAAACTCACCCTAGGACTATGACCACATATTACACTGACATTTCTGTCTGTGGCTGTCTTTTGTATCTCTTCGGCTCCCTAAAGCTGCCTGCTAGCTGGTGACTCTCTCAAATGTGGAGCTTGTTAGATATGGTTTCAAAAATCTAAAGCATACTGCACTTACTGAGTTGCCTTTATCGTTGCAGCAATTCATTGTCAAATAATGTCAGAAGATTATATAAGCAGGACCTCACATTTATTGATGAAGTCACATTGATCGTTCTTAGTCACTCCTGCTTTGCAAGATAATCTCCACACACGGTCACTGAATGCAGTTCTTGCATGAAGTGATCAAGTGACGTGTTTTAGAAAGAACTGCTTGCTTATCAAACTCAACTGCAATCGGTCAGATTCTAGACAGACCTAAAATGAGTCCTCATTTCACACTCCTCCCCAACCCCCCCTCCCATTATATATGAATAATATGAATAAAATGAACATGTCCTGTTATGCAATTAGAATACGTTAAACCCAGCTCAGCAACATGCTGTTTGCTTTGGGAAAAAAAATCTGTCAAATTCTGTAGTTACCCTGTCCATGAATTCTGAAGTCTTTAAAGTCACGAATATGCTACTTATGGTCCTTACCATCTAGATCACTCTCAAAAGTTTCTGCTGATATCCAATCAGTTGCTGGTCCTGTACCATTGCTTGTTAAGGCAGCCACACGGAAACTGTATTCTGTACCTCGTTCAAGACCTAATGTAGAACAAAGACACACTTTATTAAAACAGGAGCTGTAATGGTGATCATAAAGAACCACAATTTGCAATTAAAACATCAACAATCTCACCATCAGACTGACAGTAAAAACTCATGAATATAGAAGTAAACAAGTGGCTACACACACCGTAGCTGCTGTTGTGACATTGTTTGGATCAAGCCTGAACCAGAGCCAGCGAGCTAGGTGCATTACGTTCTGGCCTTTCACCCTTGAGATGGCTGTTGAGTACAAGCTGAGGTGAGGAATGGAAATCAGCACTACTTGCAGTGAGACGCCAGTTAGTGAAATTGACACAAATGATTGTGTAACAGCCAGACTGTGACAGCAGACACCCAGGACTCTGGCACTTCCCTGTAGGTCACTA